TATAACCCGTAAAAGTTGTTGCCACCTTTTGCTCTAGTTTTCTCTTCCATCATTGAAGCATATGTGGTTGTATATAAAAATAAATTATTTTAAATGAAAATTTTCAATGGTTATTAAAAATCTCCTTTTAAAAAAAAAAAAAAAAAAAAAATAAAGCCAAAGAAAAAATGCATTTTAATCTGCTATATATAATTTATTTATTTTTTTAATATAATTTGTAGTTAGTGACCATATGTTAAAAAAAAAAAAAAAAAAAAGCAAATAAAGCAAAGAAAAAATGCATTAATCTGCTATATATAATTTATTTATTTTTTAATATAATTGTAGTTAGTGACCATATGTTACCTCTATTACTGGGATTTCTTCATTCATATTCTCTCAATATATGAAACTATATACAATTATTTTCTCCATTTAGCTGTATATCGAGTGTTCATTGCTAAAAGGAGTCCTTTCTATAGTTACATCATAAATAGTAAAATCTCACTGATTTTAGAAATGGGAGGGTGGTTATTTGGATTATTTTTAAGGCTAAGCATCTTCGTACTTCTTTTAAATATATATAGCTTTTTGTAGTTTTTGATGTTCACTTGATGATGGTTTTATTGAATCATTTGTCTCTCTTTATTTATTTATTTCTTTCTTTTGTACCCTTTGGCTATCAAATAATCATAAATTTTTGCGGTTTTATTGGTCAATTATTACTATGACATTATCAATATAACATTAATGCTTTCTATGCAATACAAATCCTTGCAAAATAAGATTTTGTGCAAACACATGGTCAAATAAATAAATATATTGAATTCTAATAGCCCATAAGTGTTCAAATTTTTCATGGGTTCATTTCAGCCATCGTAACTGAATTACAAGAGTAATCATATTATCGTGCCTCAAATTCAATTTGTCACATAAATATGCATCAAATTCAGTTTAGATAACCAAAAAAATAAAAATTGCCTTCTAACCGGCTAATAGTAACTAGTTAGTTGACATGGAGGTCTTCAATTCTATTTTAACTTTTTTTTTAATGTCAAATCAGCTCCCAACTTCTCTCTCAACTATCTTATTCTTCTTTCTCCTCAAGATGCCCTATTCAATAAAATTACTTCCCCAATGACATAACTCAAATCTACCTTCTTTGTTTTCTCCTGCCTTGCTTAAATGACAAAGCCCATGGTGGAACCTTCAATCTCAAGCTCAAGGTCACACAAAATGAGTGTATTAAGATTAAAGGTCATAAAAGTTAGAAAAATGACAAAGTTATGAAGTTATGGTAAATAAATTTAAGATCTGTTTTTCTATGGTACTTATTTGAAACTATAGACACTCAATTTTTGCCCCAAAAAGATCCTGTGATGATAACCTTTTTTGCATAAAATGGGATCAGGAATTCCGATCGCTCTGATTTTTGAACCGATGGTTCATGTCTAAAAAATTTGAGTTGTTTGCCACCTAAGCCCTAAAATGGGGCCAACTCATCTCCTCATTTGTCTATAAATAGGGTAAGTTTTTCAGAGAGAGGCGGGTTTTTTTGATTGCTAATGGGAAACTATAACATTTTTTCTACTCAACCTTTAATCTAAGTTAAAACTTGTATTTCTAATTTAGATCTTAGGTTTTGTTCATTCTTTTTTTAGAAAAACGCCATTGATCTTATGATCAAAGACCGACAAACACATTCATCAAGCTTAAACTCAGATTTGTTGCTTCAAGATCAAAGCTTTTGGGTTTCTTGATTCATTTTCCCAAAATCTTTGGAATCTTTAACTCCTAAAAGTCGTAGTCTTTTCTTTATTTTTTTTCGTACTTTGGTGTATTAAAAACACTACCTTTACATTGGTTGTGAAAATAATTTGCTATCAACCGAAAGCTTCTAACTGCATTAGAAGTGGCGCACGCCACTGAGTAGTAGCACCACGCCACTGAGTAGTGGCACCACGCCACTTTAGCTCAAGTCAGGAAGCTCTGTTCTAAGATTTTTGACCAAGATAAGTTTCGCACGCCACTAGAAATGGCACACAGACCTTTATTTTAAAAACTCGGAATGTGAAAATGAATTAAATAGTCCCGATTCGATGGTCCTTTAAGTTTAGCACTGAGCAATCTTGCTCTATATCGTGTAAACCATTCATCATGGCCCAAATAAGGAATAAACAACAAGAAATAGGTAGCGATAGATATATTTGTTCGTAACCCATGATGAAGATCAAAGTCTTGAACCTAGATCTTGATTTAATCTTTAATTAATGCTCTTTAATTTAGTGTCTTTACTTTTATTCACCTTAAATTTTTGTCTTTTATATTTTATGCACTTTACATTAATGTTCTTTAATTATTATTATGCTAACCTACCTAACCTTAGATTAGATCACTCTAACATTCATATTTTCATCATATTATTTGTTATGATTGAATGTTGTTGAGTTTAATATTCTATGGATGATCATGTACTTTAATTGTGTTTGCTTCTTTTAGTTCTTATAGTCTTTATTATTTAGCGATGTAAAGGACCTTAATGGGTTCTACTAAATTGCTTATCTGAAATGATTATTGGTTTTGGAGAAATTACATAGGATTAATGGTAGATTGTATAATTAGGTAATGGGTTATACTCTATTCTCCTCTCTTTTTCTTTGGATGATGTTATTCTTATGCTTTATGTGTTCATTGATATGCTTGATTGTAATAGTTTTAAATTTTGCACAAAAATATTTTTACATCTTAATTAAAGTTAATAATATTACAATAATTGTGAATGAATAAACAACGAAGGAGGCCGGTTTTTAACCGGACAGTCCGGGTGCTTAATGCCTTTCTGAGATCGTACCTAACTCCCTTACCCAGTCTCTGATTAAAACCGAGTTAGCCATTTCCAAAGAAATCATTAATTCAAGATGTTTTCCCTAAAAAGGATGGCGAGTCCAAATGAAATTTCTTATCAAAGTAAGAGTTGTTTTACAA